GGCCCCCATCCTGGGGAGCAAGAGCTTAGCAGGAGGACACGTAAATAAGTAAAATTTGGCCATGAAGAATAGCGTGCTCTGAGAACCAGGGGGACCTGATTTGGAATGGTCAGAGGCCAGAGAAAACGTCTCTTAGGAAAGGACATTTATTTATTTATTTATTTAAGATTTTGTTATCTGTCAGAGAGAGAGAGCACAAGCTGGTAGGGGGGTGGCAGGCAGAGGGAGAGGGAGGAGCAGGTCCCCACTGAGCAGAGATCCCAGGACCCCAGGATCATGACCTGAACCGAAGGCAGGCGCTTAACCGAGTGAGCCACCCAGGTGCCCCAGGAAAGGGCATTTAAACCAGGACGTGGGTTGAAGAGCCTCCCAGGGCCGCTGTTGTAGGTTTCAGAATCCTACCCACTTTTGGCGCCAGCTACTGCTAACTCCCTTGATGGGTATTGTTGCCCGTTCCAAAGGTCCATAAGTCCATAACTTTCTCTTTCTTTTTCTTTTTCTTTTATGCACAAATGGGTTCCTTTGAGAATCTGCTCAAGCCACTGGACCCTTCCCCAGAAAGTATACCGAGGGAAGACCTACGTGTGTTGCTCTGAGCTCTCTCCTCCCAATTCATCCAAGAGAAAAGTCCAGAAGCTGTTAAGTTTGGCTGAGTTGAGCGGGGAGGGAAGTCCGGACTTTGCACGTCTTCCTTGTTATGTGTTGGGACTTTGACCTGCCTTGATGAGGGCTGTGCAGCCTGTGAGTGTGGTTGCTTCTTGTTAGGAGCCTCCGAGCTCTTGGCGGAGAAGAAATACCCACAGAGCCTGCAAGCTTGTAGGGGCTGCTGGAGGGTGGAGAGGGAAACTGCTGTTGGAGCTGTGGTCCCCCATTGGCTGCTGCTCCCAGCCATCTGGCCCTGGTCCTGGAGGGGCCCGGGTCTTCACACAAAGTCATCCTGCCGGTCTTAATGCCCTGCTCAGAGCCCTTCCATGGCTCTCTGGTGCCCTCAGGACAGGCTAGATATTTTAGCAGGGCACATAAGATGGGATTGTGCCCACCATCCCCGCCCGCTCTGTCCAGGCACACCCTGCCTGTCTCTCTGTTTCAAGTGCTTTGGATTCCCTGGGCAGAACACCTGTGTAGCTTTGCAAGTGCTGTTTTTCCTGAATCTTCAGCAGGTCAGTCCCTAGACATCCTTCCAAATCTTGGCTGGATATATCTCTCCTCCTTGAAGTCACCACTGACTGCTCCTTTGTACTGAGAGGCGCAGGGCATTTGCTGCTCACCATAATTAAGTCCCTCATTCCTCCCTAGCTCTCCCCGTCCCTGCCTTCATTCCTTCCACAACTGGGTATTGGGCACCTGACAGTGTTCCCCAGTCACCTCAGGGTGGTGTCAAAATGGTGAGGAGCCAAAGCAGACCCAAACCCTGCCCTAAGGGGGTTTGAAATCCCATGTTGGCCTCATAAATTCATCATAAATTCATCAGTGAAGATGAATAATACACAAGTCAAGTCTTTCCTTTAAAGAAGTTAAACTGATGATAAAAGGGCATCTCCATTATTTAAACAAACAGAAAGATGGGGGAGCCTGGCTGGCTGGGGTGGTGGAGCTTTCAACTCTTGATGTCCGGGTTGTGAGTTCAAGTCCCACATTGGGCATGGAGATTACCTAAAATGAAGGGTTGAGAAAAAAGATACATTGAAAGTCTTGTGGTCTCAGACCTGTTGCAGATTAAGTAAAGCCTGGGGTCTCAGGACTTTTTCAACCTCTGTTTCTTCATGTGTAAACATAAGGGAGAGGTAGTAATTCATTCACCTGGGAGCACCTTCTGAGAGCGGAGCTCCAGGGTTCCCGGGCTCTGCGGGGGAACGCGCCAGAGGAGAAGAGGTCCCAGCGTGCAGGCTCAGGTCAGGCTTCCCTTCACTGGGAAGGCCTCGCTCCTCAAAGGTGTGCGAGGCAGTCACTGCCCCTGGCTTTCCTTTGTAGCATGGGTCACAGTTTGAACTTGTGTAATTGCCTTATCATTTGATTTCTAGCTCTCGCTTACTGGGCCATAAACCTCATGAGAATGGGTGATGTGTCCATCTTATTCTTTTTACAACAGCTGTATTGAGATATAATTCATATGCCATAGAATTCACCCTTCTCAAGTATACAGTTCAGTTGCCTTTAGTGCATGCAGAATTGTGCAACCATCAACACTATCTAATTTCAGAATATTCTCATGATCCCAAAGAGAAACCCCCTATCCACTAGCAGTCACCCCCACATTAACCTCTACCCACCCCTAGCTCCCAGCAGCCAGTGATGGACTTCATGTTTATATGGATTTGTCTGTATTGAGTATTTCATATAAATAGGACCACAATATGTGGTCTTTTATGACTGGCTTTTCTCTACATAGCATGTTTTTAAGGGTCATGTTCGTGTTCTTTCTTGTGGCCAAATAATATTGTACAGTGTGGATTTACTGTGTTTTGTGTACCCATTCATCAGCTGGTACACATTCGGGTTATTTCCATTTGGAGGCTACTGCCACGGCCGGCTGGCTGGGTCCCACAGCGCCCCCCCCCCCAAGTGGGTCCTTAGCTTCTCACAGGATAGATATCAGGAAGTGAGAGCAGTTTGGTGGAGACCTAGAGCAGATAAAGTGTGTCTGGGAGACTCAAAGGAAAGAAGAGTGAGTCTCAGTCTTTGCTTGTGGTCTGGGTTTTTATTGAGGATGGTGGTCTGGTGCAGTGTCTTCTCAGGCATCCAGGAACGAAGAGAAGTGTTTAGGTGTCTGCCAGAAGGCACTTATGCCCTGGAGCCAGGGGTCTCGGTGACTCATAGGTCTTGGAAAACCGTTTAAGATGACCCTGCCTCATCACTCTTTAGATGTTATCTGTTGTGCTGAAAGACTCAAGAAATCATTAACTCCTTGACCTTTACGAGGAGGACAGCCATTATCTGTACTGTAAGGTGTGTGTGTGGTGGGGCGGTAGGTTCTAGCAAGAGTAGAGGCAACAAAAAAAGTAGTCTTTCTTAGGGTCCTTCTAGTTTCCCTAGCTCATGTTGGCTAATGCTGCTAGAAGCTTTCCTATGCAAGTTTTTGTGTGGCTGTATGTTTTTAGTTTGTTCACATCCTCACCAACACGTGTTTATTTTCTGATTTTTGTTTTTACAGTGGCCATTGTGGTGGGTGTGAGGCGCTCTCTCAGGGTGATTTTGATTTGCATTTCCCTAGTGACTAAGTGTTGCACATTTTCTCATGGGCTTATTGACCATTTCTGTGTCATCTTTGCAGAAATATCTATTCCGCCCTTAGTCCATTTTTAAATTGGGTTCTCTTTTTATTGTTGAGTTGTAGAAGTTCTTTGTATATTCTGGATACAGCCTCTTACTGATACATGATTTCCAAACATTTTCTCCTATTCTGTGGGTTGTCTTTTCACTTTCTTGATGTTATCTTCTGAAGCATGAGAGTTTTAAATTTCAAAGTCCAATTTACATATTTTTTTTCTTTTGTTGCTTCTGCTTTTGGTGTCCCTATCGACTGTTGTCGAAGTCCTAAAGATTTGCTTCTGTTTTCTTCTAAGAGTCTTATGGTTTTAATCTTATGATTAGGTGCATGTCTGTCTTATTCTAAATTATATCCCCAGTGCCTGGAATAATGTCTGATATATAGAAGGTACTTGATACTTACTGAGTCAGATGAAGGAATTAATATATCTTGGATGAAGGTGCCTGGGTGGCTCAGTCAGCTAAGCATCTGCCTTTAGCTCAGGTCATGATCCCAGAGTCATGGGATCAAGTCTGGCTCTCTTCTCAGTGGGGAGCCTGCTTCTCCCTCTGCCCCTCTCTCTCTCTCTTTCTCTCAGAAATAAAATCTTAAAAAAAAAAAAAAGTTAAAAAAAAATCTCTTGAATGAATGAATGATCGAACAGGTATCTCTTGTCCCAGAACTGTTGCTCCCTACGAGGAGCCCCAGGGCTAGGCAAGCTGCATTACACAGGTGAGGGGCTCCGGTTTGTTTTAATCTTGCCCCCAAGGAACCGGCTGTGCATGAGCTCCCACGGTTCCTTTTCTGCCAGCTCTTCCTTGCCCGTTTTCCCTCCATGTTGTTTCTCTTTAGTTTCTCGACTGGACAAGATATAGCTACAGCATTTTCTCAATAAATCGTGTCTGGCCTACTTTAGTTAAATTGCAAATAGGGTAGGTATATAAGGAAATTTTTCCTGTCTCAAAAATCTTGGTTGGTTTGATATTTCTTTTGTTGGCTTTTCTGGTGTTAGAGAAATACATTCAGATAACACAGTAGTGTCCAAATTACAAAGTAAAAGTTGCCTCCTGGCGGGGAAGTATGTTTGGAATTTACTTGTGGGGAAAAAAGTATATGTACAAGCGGAGAGCACGAAGATAAAATGAAAACTAAGGAATCTGGGCGAAGGGTATTTTAGGAGTTCTTTGTACTCTTATTTTAACAGCTTTTTGTACATTAAATATTTTTTTTTAAGTTATCTCTCTCAGTCCCACCCACAGAGGGAATTAAGCCAGGGGACCCTAAGAGGGTCCTGTGTTCTGGATGTTTACGTTCGTTTTTCATCTGCTCCTCAGCTGTTGAGGAGGTGACAAAGGTGAAGGCCGGTGACTGAGCAGGCACAACTTGGTGAAGTAGTACAGCCAGAATTTGGGTGCTGGCCCCCGAGTCCCAGGCCTGTACATACTCATCCTTTCCCCAGGAAATGACTGTCTCTGGGGCCTGTTATCTCTGTTACCTGCCTCTGTCATCATATCCTTGGCACGTCACAAGCCTGTGCTCACTGAGGACAGATGGGAGGCGGTCCAGGGATTTCTGGAATGCGGGGGGGTATGGCTACCATCCTGGGACTTGAAGGAAAACGGATGGGTTATGGAGGGAATTGCTGCCCCCCAACCAGCCAGCAGGCAGGCCCTCATGTCTCGCTTTGCCCGGGCATCCGAAGCGCTCAGGAGGCAGCCCTGACCACTCCACCCCCATCCTGCCTGTCCTGCAGGAGCTGAAGCTGCCCGCCTTCCGAGCCCACTCCCCACTCTTGAAGAGCCGCCGGTTCTTTGTCGACATCTTGACCCTGCTGAGCAGCCACTGCCAGCTGTGCCCCGCGGCCCGGCACCTGGCCGTCTACCTGCTGGACCACTTCCTCGATCGCTATCACATCACCACCTCCAAGCAGCTGTACGCCGTGGCGGTCTCCTGTCTCCTGCTCGCAAGTATGTGCCCTTGCGGCTTCCCACCGTCCCCCTCCTTGGAGCCCGGGTTCTCCCGAGTCATTTCACATTTCTGAGGTCTTTGCATGTCTTCTGTGTCTGTCCTTTGCTGAGTGCAATCTGTAGTCCTAATAGTCAACATTTTCTTCAGCATCAGTAATGTCCTGGACTAAGCCATGAGGATTTTCGTAGCAGATCTAAATGAATCCACACAGTAACCTTGGAAGACAGATACTTGTAGTCCACCCCCATATTACCGAGGCACAGAGAGATTAAGAAACTTGCTTTGGGTCATCTAGCTTAGTAGATAGCAGCCAAGATTTGAGCCCAGAATGGCACAGTGCCAGACCTGTTCTCTGAAGTCTGTGTCCCCTGCTTCCTGGCATAGGGGCTCTGAATATGCTGGAAGGGAAACCCGACCAAGATTTGAGCCCAGAATGGCACAGTGCCAGACCTGTTCTCTGAAGTCTGTGTCCCCTGCTTCCTGGCATAGGGGCTCTGAATATGCTGGAAGGGAAACCCGAGCAACCGCTCTTCTTAGAAATGTGACTGCTTGGGGCGCCTGGGTGGCTCAGTGGGTTGGGCCGCTGCCTTCGGCTCGGGTCATGGTCTCGGGGTCTTGGGATCGAGTCCCGCATCGGGCTCTCTGCTCGGCGGGGAGCCTGCTTCCCTCTCTCTCTCTCTCTCTGCCTGCCTCTCTGTCTGCTTGTGGTCTCTCTCTGTCAAATAAATGAATAGAATCTTTAAAAAAAAAAAAAGAAAGAAATGTGACTGCTTGACCGGGGCCCAGCGGGACCCACTGTGTGGTCACCAGGCCTGGGCACTGGCCACCTAGGATTTGCGTCTTCGAGGAAGGCCTCACAAAACACGCAGTGTGGTTTTGACCTCTGTCTGTCTGCCTTGGTGGAGATGACCACGTGGCTGTGCTACTTGGGTCATGCACTTAAAACACTGTTTTGTCCCGCCGTCCTGCCCTGGTTTACCAACAGTCTGAGGAGAGGGATCAGCTGTCCAGGTCCTGTCTGACCTCGTGCATCTCCGGCCAAGCCCCCTGCTGTCGTAGAACTTTGCACACAGCACATGCTCTCTCTTCTGCCTGGAGAGCTTCCCCCCCCCCCAACCACAAATCCGGCCCACCTGTGTGGTCCTCATTAAATGTCACTGGGCCCTGCATCCCTGAGAAACCTCCCCCACTGCCCTTATGAGATAGCCCTGATACACGTTTCCCTGCATCAAATACATTTCATTAATACCCACCTCCCCTGAGAAACAGCTTCAGGGAGGGTAGGGAGCTGAGTACATCACGAGGCCTCCAAAAAAAAAAAGAAAAAAAAGTGTTGGTGGAATAAAGGAGTGAATGGAGCTAGGGGTTCCTTTTGTGCTAGGTCCTGCGCTTCTCCAAGGTGGCCATCTGTGGTCATGACTCTTCCTTGAAGTCTAGTGCTTTCTGCATAGAAATAAGTCAGATTTGACATTCTTCTCCATGATATGTAATCGTCCTGTTTTATTATATCAGCCGCTTCCGAATCCTTGAGTCCCACGGGTTCCGCAAGAAGATGGTACCCGTTTTCTCCTGTGGCTTTGTCTGCTCTTGCACACTGCCATGAACCCCTCTGGGCAGGATCACCCAGTTCTGGAAGCATGGCTTTCGAGTTTTAAACACTCTTGTTTCGGGTCACCTGGGTGGCTCAGTGGGTTAAGGCCTCTGCCTTCGGCTCAGGTCATGATCCCAGGGTCCAGGGATCGAGCCCCACATCAGGCTCTCTGCTCAGCGGGGAGCCTGCTTCCTCCTCTCTTTCTGCCTGCCTCTCTGCCGGCTTGTGATCTCTGTCTGTCAAATAAATAAATAAAATCTTTAAAAAAATAAATAAATAAAATAAACACTCTTGTTTCCCGCCACGGCACCATCCACTTGCCGTTACTTGTCACCAGTCATTTTGTGGCTTGCAGTTTACAGCCGTCCCTGTTTGTGATTTGCTTTCCCTTGGGCCAGCTGCATTGGCTGTGTTCTGCAGAGACAGCAGCCTTGGGGGTGGGAATCCGGCCTGCCTGTTCCTTCCAGGTCCCAGATCAACATGCCGCTCTCTCCCATCTTGGGCTTACAAGGCATCCCCGCCAGCCTCAGCCTAGGGCAGAACGGGCATCGCGTTTCAGATGGCCCAGGAGGAGTCTGCGCCGTGGCCTTTGGCCTGCTGCTGTCTGTGATCTGTGGGCTGCATCGAGGCCCCATGGGGGCAGGGGACTTAGGTTTCCACGGGGCCGTGCAGGCTGTCCCCCAGCATCTGTCTAGGGAGCTGGGATGTGAGGCACACACTGGAGACTCCTTTGTGCTGCTGCCGCCATGGTGGAGGGAAGGGGGCCTTTCAGACGGAGAGGCAGACGCCAGGCCCCCCCCCCCATGTCTGAGGGGAGCAGCCAGCCTGGAGCAGCAAGAACGGATTTCGTAGGACACCTGCCATATGCTCAGAGGCCTCCGGAAAGAAAAGTTTCCATGACAGCCTGAAATCCTATTCATTGCACCCTCCCCTCTGCCCAGGCTGACTGTCGGCCACAAGGGGGGGTCACCTTGCCTCAGGAAGCTTTGAGTTCTGCTAATTCAGTACCAAATTATTCTCAAGAAGAAGAACTGTGGTTCCTGTCCCTGCCTTTCAATTCTTTGGGTTTTAGAGCTGCTTCCAGATAAGGAAGGAACCTTCCAGATAAGATGGAACCTTCTCACCTACATACAGTCCCTCTGCCCTCATAAATCGGGTCGGTCAAGGGGTCCATGTCCACAGGCCAATGAAAGGAGGTGGGAAAAGCAAGAGCCCATAGGTTGTTTCATGGCGGACAAGTGGCAGAGCTGCCCCTTGGTCTTCCTGTGCCTGAGTTAACTGCATTTCCTATATAGGAGAGCACCCCACTCTAATTATAGTCTGGCTATAAGTGTAAGTCGGGTAGAGACACTCTCTCCACTCTCTCCATCTTATACAGCTTCCCACCCCCTCTGTCTTTTTGTTGGTGTTGCTGTAGTTGCTTAATTAAAAGGATAATTTGACAGCCTGGAGACCCCACAACTTCCAGGTGAGTTGGCTTTGACAGGACGCCTTCACTGTCGTCCCAGGGACGACAAGCTTTGTTGTTTACCGGTCCCTTTAAGTGTGCCCAGCCCTGGGCCAAGCACTGAATGATCTTCCCAACCAGCTTACATGGTTGTGTCATCATCTGCCCATTCTAGAGGCTCAGAGAGGCTGAGTAACTTGCTGAGGGTCACGCAGCTCAGAGTTTTGTTTATTCTTAATTGGGGTAAAATTCATAACACAGCGTGAAATTTACCATCTTAACCGGTATAAAGCATACCGCTTCGTGCTGTTTAATACATTCACACTGTTGTCCAACTGTCCGTCCCCTCTCTTTAGTTCCAGAACATTTTTATCACCCTGAAAGGCACCCTTGGATCCACCAAGTGACTGCTTCCCACTCCTTCCCACTCCCAGCCCCTGGCAGCCTCTCATCTGTTTTCCATCTCTCTGGATTTGCCTCTTCTGGATACTTCCTCTGAAAGAGTCACACAGTCTGTGAGCTTTTATGTCTGGTTTCTTTCCTTTTTTTTTCACTTTTCAGGGTTCATCCAAGTTGTAGCTCACATCAGTGTTTCATTCCTTGTTGCGGCCGAATAACATTCCGTTGTAGGATGTACCACCTCTTATCCTTTTATCTGTTGATGGACATTTGCGTTGTTTCTGCCTTTTGGCTGCTGTGACCATTGCTGCTGTGGACATTCACTACCAGCTTTGTTTGAACACCTGTTTTCAGTTCTTTTAGGCGTAAACTCAAGAGTGGAATTGCTGATTAGAATTGGCTCTTCAATGTTGAACTTTTTAAGGAAACTCAAGAGTTTTGCTTTTGCCTGGCTCAGAGATGACTGGGTGTCGAGTCCTTGGCCCCGGGCATGGAGCAGCCTGAGGTAGGAAAGAGGATGGGAGGAGCGCCTGGGTGGCTCAGTGGGTTAAGTGGCTGACTCTTGATTTCAGCTCAGCTCATGATCTCAGGGTCCTGGGATGGAGCCCTGCCTCGGGCATGGAGCCCTGCACTGAGCATGGAACCCGTTTAAGATCCTCTCTCCCTCTGCTCCCTTCCCCCTTGCATGTGTGCTCTCTCTCTCCCTGAAAAAATTTAAGGGAAAGAAAAAATTTATGGGAAAGAAAATCAGAAGAGCCAGAGGCATGACCAGGATGGCCTTTTTGCTAGGACAGTATGGCCTTAAATATAAGACATTATTATGATGATTAAAAAAAAGTATGAGATACATTTTTATAAAAAATCCAAATAGTAGTAGCACTTGTATAAAAAAATTTGTTTCCCCCAAACCTGTTGTCCTGTTGCCACAGTTTGCTGTGTATACTTCCAGACCTAGACTTACTTGTGTTTTTTCATAATTGGGAAAATAAGTCTATTTTTATTCACAAGGAGGAAAAATGAATCCTAGATTACGCCCATATGAACTGCCCAGTAAGCAAAAGTTATGAGATTCTCCCTTTGTCCCTTCTTTTCCTTTTGTCTCTCTCTGTAACCCTAGTTCCATCATACTTTCTCTTCTGGACCGTGAGCCCCATCCTGCCCCTTACTGACTACTTCTAGGAAAGGCTAAGGGTGACACGTCTGTTTCTTGGGGTAAAGTTCTGACTTCTAGGTTTTTGTAGGTGAGGCTGAATCCTCTGCCACCCTTCATCTCAGCTATCTTCCTCCCCAGGAGAGGGAGGCATCAAGCAAGAGGGTGGTCACGTGTCCCCTTTTGCAAGACACTGGTCCCCCTGTGGGGCAGGGTCCTTTAGCCCAGAGTGAATCTGCCATGCTATGCTACGTGTACCGGGAGAAAGGCTCATTTTCCTACTGTACATTTTTGTTTATTTTTATTTTTTTTAGAGATTTTATTATTTATCTGAGAGAGAGAGAGCACGTGCACACAGGAGCAGAGGGAGAGGGAGAGACAGTCTCCATCAGACTTTACATGCTGAGCTCAG